CTTCCTGCCTATAGGACTTTCATCTACTATACAGACCGAACGCTTGTTACCCCAAAACACAGGAGCCAGGTCCACATCAGCCCCAAATCACCAACAACACCTCTTTTTTAGGTCTATTTAGGGGCTACAGTTCACAACAATGCAGACTGGTGGGGGTAGGACTGGGCACACAATGACACCTCACGTCTGGAAAATGAATCAGTAATATGAAACAAGACAAGAGAATGATGAGACGATGCACTTCACAGAGCGCAGTTTTCAGCTGCTATTTTGAGCAAGGCATGAAGGGATCCAATTGAATGATAATATCTGAAATTATCCAAGAATACATTCCCCTCTGTAGAGTGGGATGATCAGAGAAGGGCAGTGGGAGAGTGGTGTTAAATGCAGCCCTACCTCTCCTTCGAAGTAGCATCCAGTTAAGAGCAATTTGACTAAATACCATGCATATGAACCAGCCCCCCCACTTAAGGTTGAGGGGAGAAACCTAACTCCCAAGGTAAAAGTTAGGGGAACGAAAGAGAACGAATCTATCCTGTCAGCTGTCAAGAGGTCTCGCCCTGTAGAAAGGGTATACACAGAAAAATGAACAAGAGCAACAATACGAGGCTTATGAAAATGTTCTACAACATCAAATGGGTGCGGTTATACTCCAGGTGAAGCTTTAGAGAAAGATTTAAAGCAGGAGTACATTTTAGAGAGTATCTATTTTTTGCTCCCCCAAATTCAATAAAATATGACTTCCATAAACACACACACACATACACAGATATTAGATGACAACAACTTAAAGAAAAGAAGCATTGCAGAGATGCAGGCAGAGATGAATTTTCCATAATAATAGTCACCGTCTTAGACTGCTTGAGCTCCCCAAACAAACACCATATACTGAGTGTCTTAAACAGCAGACATTTACTTCTCACAGTTCTGGAGGCTGGGAAGTCCAAGATCAAGGTGTTGGCTGGCTGATTCAGTTTCTGGTGAGAGCTCTCTTCCTGGCTTACAGACAGCTGCTTTCTTGCTATGTCCTCGCAGGGTCGGAGAAGAGATAAATCTTTCTATTTCCCTCTTCTGATAAGGCCACAAATCCTATCAGATTAGGGCCCCATCCTTAAGACATTATGTAGCCCTAATTGCCTCCTAAAAGCTCTACCTTCAGATACAGTCACATTGGGGGTTAGGGCCTCAAGATAAAAGTTTGAAGGGTACACAGTTCAATCCATAGAAATTATTCAAATTTTTTCTGCTCTAGAGCAACCGAAGGGTATGATATTTGAGTTTCTATCTGGGCTGGGAGCTATCCTAGAAATATGTATAGATAGATCTCTGGAAGAAACTTGCTTGAAAAGATCCCAGGCAAAGGTAATTCTTATATTTTTACTACTTTACCATTAGAATATCTCTATTCTGTAGACATCATGTTTCCCATTTATAATCAGAAAAATGAACATTTTAAATAAAAACATACTAAATGCAAAATGTGAATTAAATATATCCCTATTTCACTTGATTTTCACAAAGATCTATTTACATGAGACAAACTCAGTGAGTTTAGAGAACTCTTAAAATAAATTTGAAATGAAGCATTTTCAGCACAACTGGATTGTAAAATACCTAGTCGGCTTATGATCTCTAATGACATTCTTAATTCTCAGTTTTTCAAATGAATCTAAATTTACTCAAGTGTCTTCTTTAAAATGGATAACATAAATTAAATGTTTGTGATTTTTGCAACCACCAAAGCTCATAACAAAGGAACAATGTTCTGTGCATCATTTCTCTCCTACAATCTATCCTGTGAGTTTAATCTTCCTGGACCAGGTCTTCTCGAGGGCATCATGGAACTCCTGCTCGTTCCCTGCGGGCCTGGGGTTCTTGCCCCTGCAGATCAAAGGTGCCTGTTCCTCACCCTGCCGGCTCCGCTCACACATTCAGAGCTGCTCCTGGCCGAGGGAGGACAGGCTGGTTTGGAGATTCTGTAGAAAGGAGAGAGGTTGCAGGGATGGGAGGAGACCAATGGCTCCGGTCGATAGAGGGAGGGGCCCGGGCGGTCATAAATCAGAGAAAGCCGTCGGCCCTGGAGAAAAGGCCAGTGATCCGGTGAGGAAGCCACCCTGGTGCATAGGTGACAGATGAGCTACACGGCTGCGGATGAGAGCTGCCTAGCAATGCCCAGGGTGGGTAGGGAGGGTGTGGCGAAACCATCCGGGATGGCCAGAGAGACGTGCGGGGAAACCCGCTGGGTACCAACACTGCCCGGGGCTCCTTACAGGCGGCAGCGAAGCGCCTGAAAGGCGTCCCGCTCCTTTCTCCCGGCCAAAGCACCAGCCACCGCATCTTCCCGCTCCTCTGGACTTGGCGGCATCAGCCAGACCCCCCAGGGAAATCTGAGCCACTCTCCCCGTTGTCTGTCTGTTTCGACACAAGTCCACTCTGCAGAAGTATTCTTTACATTTCTCATAGCCTGAAATGACACCTTTCTACCTGGGCACAGAGAACCTTAGGCAGGACCCTAGAAACAAAAGTCAAGGGCATGGAAAAGGAACGGGAAGAGATAAAACTTAAAAAAAATAAACAAAGCAGAAGACGAGATAACATGCAGAAAACTTTCTAGGCATCTCTTAAGTTCTTTCTACACACTGAGGCCACATTAATGTCCCTAGAACACAGCTTTCATGATGCCATTACCTTACTCAGAGACAACTCCCACTAGTGCTCAAGCACTTTAGTCTGGGTAGTGTTAGGGGCTGAATGGAGTCCTCCCCCAAACTCAGTTTGAAGCCCTGACTCTCAGTTTGACTACAGCTGGAGAAAGGGCCTTTTAAGGAGGTAATTATGGTTCATGAGGTCATAAGGGTGGGGCACTAATCCGATCGGACTACGGTCTTTTAACAGGAGGAAGAGACGCCAGAGCTTTTCTCTCTCCCTCTCCATGAGTGCACAGAGGTAAGGCTGTGTGAGGACGCGCACCGGCAGAAGGCAGCTGTCCGCAAGTCAGAAAGAGAGGCCCTATCAGAATCCAACCCTGCTGGCACCTTCACCTCAGACTTCTCGGTCTCCAGAACCCTGAGAAATAGTTTCTGTTTAAGCCACCCCACCTGCGGTATGTTGTCAAGACAGTCCTAATAGAATAATACAGGCGGTATGTGGGGTCCCACCGGATGCTTTTAAAAAATCTCTCCAGTTGTATGTATCTCTCCCTACTTGTCAGTTCAGGGACCATCTACCTAATACAGTTTATGAATTCTAACACCCATATTGCTGTGTGTGGTGCCCCTGATCCTTGTTAATGTTTTTTCTGCCTAAGATGATGAATCTTCCCCACGTCTCCAGTTCCCTCAGCGTCCCGATTGATTCCTCTGCGAAGGCCTTCTCCTTCACCCCAGTGGGCAGTGTTCCCCTCCTCTGACTACTGAACGTCTGTCTGCACTACTAATTTGACCATGTCACATGCTGTTAGCACTGCTCTAAGAAGAATGCTGGCTCCCTTAGCAAACACATTTTCCTTACGAAGACAGTCTTGTGTTCATCACAACAAAATATGAAACACATAGAAAAACACACAAGAAAGAAGCACCACCGTTATTAGGTCACCAATAATAAGACCATTCAGGAAATACTTCCAAAAATAAAATCCTTCCAGTCTTTTTTCCTAGATGTGTGCACGTACGCATATAGAATTCAACTCCGTGTGCTTTGTATTTTGCTTCTTTCACTTAGTATATCTTAAACATTTTTATTGTCATTATTCTTTCCAAAGTTTATTTTGAGTTATAATATTCCATGCTATGTACTATAATTCACTTAACCAACTCCCTATTTGTGAGTGTTTAAATTATTTCTAATCTATCTGTATTACAAATAGCCCTGTGATAAATATTCTTACTAAACAATCCTTGCATAAATTCATGAAAATATCCTTGGGATAAAGGTCAGCAGTACATTTTCTTCTAATACGAACGGCCATGTTGCCCTCCAAAAAGCTGCCCTTCCGTCAACATGAGAGTGCCTGTTTCTCTACACACCCAAGTGAACCTTGACACCTTTCCAACGCTTTGCCAATTTGGAATATGAATTTAATGAGAGCACAGACCACGTGTTATTTTATTCCTCCGACGGCTGCCACTACTATTGATATTAACCTGTGAATTATACTGCACTATAAAGTTTTCACACACATAAATTAGAACAGTACCTTACAGCATCTAACATAGTGTCCTTGGTGTACAAAGGTCATAAAACATTGCATGATCATGGAATAATATTTACGAAATGGCTTTTAGATGCTACATGAGAGTCACATAAGTCAAAAAGCCATTCCTCTGCCGTATGTATGTAATTTCTGTGACAGTTATAGTAAGTTTTTGCTATCCTAAGTCTGATAGGCTATCTCTAATCCTGCAGTCCCTTGTCCACCCCGTGCCCATTTGTTAATCATTTCGTATTCCCTCACTGATGTATCGGTTCTAGTTGCAGTGGATAAGTGCATTTTAAGACTCAGCATCTACAATACAAACTGAGATTTTCAACGAAACCAACAAGAAACATTTCAGCTTTGTTATAGAACCTATTACAGAATGTTCTCTCCTGAGAAAGCTTTCACTCTCTTTTTAAAATCCATTTTCTTTTCTTTTTTTTCTATGAATATGAAGGGTCTTTACTTGTATTCCTAGTTTTGAGTAGATTTTCTGTATTTTTATCTCCTTTCTCAAGTATAGCAAATTGGTTGTCAACTTCTGAGATGTGATTGCTGTCACAGTTCTTATTCAAAGTCCCTGTGGAAGAGGAGTGGTCCCTGGCACACTCTGAGGCTGAACCACTCTTCGGGGCAGAACTCCTCGGGGGTGCCCCCTCTACTCCAGGCGCCCTCATCAACTTGTGTGATCTCCTCCAGGCCAGTCTACTGCACCACCTTGTTTTCCCTGCATCCCCCCCCATCTCATCTTTATTTGCTTTC